TCCCTCCCTCCCTCCCTCCCTCCTCCCCCCGCATGATCAGACACGATCATCGAATAAATCTCCATTTGTAATTCCCACGGTAATTAAACGTGGCCTTTCCACGCACCGAGGCATCCGACGCACGTTTGCTTCGCTATTACTACGTTCGCACTACTTGCACGTCGGAGTCACGCGACATCAATTCTACTTTGTCCAGCATACGAGATGGCTCGTTGTTAACGCGACTCTGACGTAAAATTTAAGAGCCTCGATACTGTGCATGTTAAGTGTAATGACACGTGTCTTTCCCTCTTTATTCTGATTCCCCTTCTTTGTTTAATTTCGCCCTTATCTAATTTCCCTACACCTGTATGTACATTCTTCGTTCTTGCACATTATTGGAGAGTCGACCTGACAGAATAATTTTATTTCAAATTAATTCTGTCTGTTCGTGAAGTTCTGCCCGAGATTTTTAAACTGAGCTTCGTTCGCAGTTCATATTCGTGGAAGAAATTAAAAAAAAAAAATCATCTCGTCGAGAAGATCACGCTCGAAACTGGAGACTAATTGAAAGTTGCCTGCGCCGTTTGTCGAGTTGCGCAACCTTATGCCGGCCATTTTTGTTTGTGACTGTCGTACCTTCTATTGGTTACCGGCTTTTAATCACTCGAGGGGAAAAAGACGATAATTTCCAATTAAACCGCGAAACGGGCAGTTCACTCCGCGTGGGGGAAAAAAAAGATTGCCGCGGATTATTACTTGTAAACCAATGGCCCAAGATAGTTGAACAAATAGTATACAGGAAAGAGAGAAACTTTGAAAGCGAGATCGCCAGTTTTTGAACTAATATAAGAAGCTGTAAGTGACGGGTACGACAACTCGGCGTCTAAACTTAAATGAAGGACCAGGCAAGTAGACTCGGCGAATTGTAATCGCGTAAAGCGAAACATGTTGAATGCACGTTGCATCTTTTCGACATTGAAGGGCTTATAACTCAAATACTTAGATAAATCTCTTAGATAAATTCTGCAACAGTTTGCAAAGCCAAAGTTCCGGTCTTTTTATACGGGGCAAAGTGAAACCCCGCGTTTGCAGTTTCATCAGATCCGAAAGCCAATATTCAAACTGCGACCCACTTTGTAACAGACAAAAAAAAAAAAAAAATGTCCCGCTCCTGGAGCGAAATCATCTTTCCCAAACAAGATATTTCACACTGTGCGAGTTGTGATTTAAGTATCGGAATCGTTGCTCTGACTCTTCTGATCTTAAATTAATTGTATTAATTAAATATCGTTATCACTTGAAGATCTATATAATTCTCGTCGATGATGCCGGAAGAAATTTCATCTCCATTTACCAATTTGATACAGATTAAACGTAAGCTTGCACCATCGAAACTAAAAATTGAAAGTCCGCTAAGTGAAATACGATGACGTCTCCCATTCATTTCTTAATATCAAAGCAAAAGCGAAAGAGATTTAATTAATAATCACTGATGACTATGATTGATGTCGCGTGAATCGACGCGATAATGATGCTTCCGTGACCCGTCAATCTCCATTCTCACGCAAGTTCTCGAGCAAAAGTTTCGCGAAGAAGAAGGGTGAAAAACGACGTAACTTCCGAAATTGTGGCAACGGAGGAAGTTGCGGAAATGGGCGTCTGCTAACCGCGACGAGAAAGAAGTTGAGCTCGCCGTAAACTTCTGGCAAAGTGTTCCAAGTTTCCTTTACTTTTTTTTTTTTTTCTCATTGCTTGAAAAACCAAGATCCAACCGAGCGATAATTACAAAGAATTTCATCACATGGCAAAACAGACGAATACGAAAAAAAAGCGATTTTACCGAGTAAGCGCTGTGCTAAATTAATCGAATAAGCTTCGTCGAAATTTTTTTATCGCATCAGTGTCGTTCAATTTGCCGTTGCAACGGGAACCGACGTTTATTTACAAAGAGCTGTAGAGCATATAAAGGTAAACAAACTTTTTTCCTATATATACTTCCATCTCAATAAAAAAAAGAGAGAAAAGTTTTGTCAGGAAAAAAAATTTTTCTCGGTAAAAATTTATATACAATATAAAAGTTTAATATTTTCAAGTCAAAGTTAACTGATCTATAATTATTATTATGGGGATATAGGTTTCTCAACGTTGTTAGATATTTGATAAGGTAAGAAAGATAAAAATTCTCTGGCACTCGTGAAAGGATTTCGACGAGCAAAGATCTCACTGTCGGAAAGGATATTCTCGTTCAATCATGAAATCTGGAATGACGTACGAATAATGTCCTTTATTTCTCCAAATCCCACGCAATTTGAAATCCAAACACATACATATTTCACTATCATGCCGTAAATAAACCACAAAGGTCAAGATAAATAATTCCAATTTTGATCCACGTATTACAGAGGCATGCATGACGATTATTTATGCTCCGAATACCACGAATACATTAGTATCATTCACGTCAATTGACGTGAATCAGCAAAAAATTCGAGGATAATGACAAAACTTTCTGAACTATCGTCAATGCTGCTCGATCTTACGTCTCTCTTTCCTCGCGTCGAAACTTAGTTTGAAAAACATTTTCAACGAGGACAAACAGCTGAGCTACGAGATTTTTATTTATGAAAAGAACGAAACTCTTTACAAACTTTTTACAAATTGTGATTATCAATTCAAACGTAGCTATTACTAGAACACCGAAAATTCGAATTTTCAATATAATTCTGCGCTAATTCTGCTAATTCTCAAACTGCGTTCTCTTTCCTCGCGTCGAAACTTAGTTTGAAAAACATTTTCAACGAGGACAAACAGCTGAGCTACGAGATTTTTATTTATGAAAAGAACGAAACTCTTTACAAACTTTTTACAAATTGTGATTATCAATTCAAACGTAGCTATTACTAGAACACCGAAAATTCGAATTTTCAATGCAATTCGCCGCTTCTGTTTTATAGAATAAGTATATAGAATAAGTCCTATTAGTTTCCTAACTCCATCTGAACGTTCATGAAAGAGAGAAGAGAGAAAGACTCGTCCTGACTTTTAAAAACTTTTAAGTAAACTGCTGGAAACTGCTTTCCGTACGATACAACAAACAGGAATTAATCTTCCGGTCAAAATCAAGTAATAAAGACCTAGGCAGATCGTAAGTATCTTCTTAACATAAGGTAAATTTGCATTGCAGACTTGTATGCTGTTGGATATTTTCTGCGGTACCAACATCCTCACCGAGTGGGCGGTCGTCTGGCTTGGACTCCCCATCATGGCACACAGCGGCGTAAATCCATGGATTTATGCGTTCCATCATGGCGAGATGAGGGTTGCAGCTGGTAAAATCACCGAGGAGCTGGTCGCGTTGTTCGGTGTGACGCCCAGCCGTTACGGTTGCTCGCCAATGAGACGCGGCTCCAACACGAACATGGAATTGGCCGAGGTGAACAACAGCAACGACGGTAGAAGGCATCCGGTGGAGGATTGCTTCGCGGCGAAGCAAAACAACGCTCTATACATGAGCAGGCGATGCCTGGACGTGTCGGGGAAGCACACGGACATCTCGCCCGAGAGGAACATCGACCGCACGTCTTCCGGTAGTAGGCAAGGAGACATCGTCGAGGAGAGTATCCACGATCTGACGAAGATGCTCGACCTGAAGTACATCATCGATCGGAATCACATGATCGACTCGAACCACAACATCGACAAGATCAAGAATCTGAAGTACCTTCTGGATCCGACGTTCAACAAGATCAGACACCTGAGACGATTGAACCACAAACGGCTCACTAGCAAGAACTTCTCGAAAGCGTCGGAACCGAAGTTCATCTCCTATCAGAACTTGAAGAGCGACGGAACGTTGAATCGTAAAGCGTTGCACATGAATACCATGTCGGACCCTGTGCTGAGCGCTAACAGTCCGATGGTGCACGCGAAAGACTTCCACGACGGTCTGAGTCCTGTCTACAGGAAACGGAGAAACTCGAACCTCTGTTCGATGTCTGATCCTAACATCAAAGCAGCGACCGGACTCTCCTCCGAGGTGAATCTTCGTCTACCAACCGGCGGGAACGTCGAAACTCACAGATACTCTGTGCAGAATTTGAATCACAACAACAGGTTCGAGGGAGGCCTGGCCAAGCACGTTATGCTGTCCCGGCAATTGGAGAATCAGAAGCGATTTCACGTTCATCCGCGTCCTCCTCGGACGAAGGTCAACAGCACGACCTTCGACCGAAACAGTCCAAATTTGAACTTGATACTTCAGAACAGTTACACGTTGCCATCCACGCCGGACAGCACGAGGTCGAGCACGTCACCGAAATACATGACAATTACGTCCAACAGATTGGCCAATGTCGTTCATACGGATAGTGCAATTCCTTCGAGGAACCTGGATCCCAGGACAGATCCAATTTCCTCCAGGCTGTTGCAAGTCCGAAGGAACATGGAAACATTGAGACATTCCGAATCGATCAACACCATCGAGCCGATGACGCACGTGAGATTGTTGGAACCCTGCTACAAAGCGATGGAGAGTCTAGCAGTACCGACAATACACTCGGAGCCACCGAGCCCCATAGAACCACTTCCTCTTGCCTCTCTACAGGAAGAAGAAGGCACGAAGAACTGCGATACGTCGAAGCCTTGCGTTAACATCGACTGCTTGAAATCGCCGATGGGTAACAGAAGGAGCCCCTCGGTTAGACACTCGGACCCTGTAATACCGACCGTTCTGTTGAACATCGAGGACTACAGCGAGGACCGCGAGTCGGTCAATGACAAGTCTAGTCACGACAGTTCCTCCAATAATCTGGTATCGTCCGGCCAAATGACGTCGATAGAGCCGATAGATCTGTTCGAAGCGTTGTTGAAGAACTCGGAGAGGTACCGGGAAGGAAGGCTGCCAGAACCGATCTTCGCCGAGCACGACTCGACGAGATTCAGCTCGAGAAGACCCTCGGACTCCAAGTGGTCAGAGTCGTCGAGGAGCCAGGAAATCCTGTCGAACGTGGTCACCGAGCATCAGGCGTTCCCCTCGTCCTACTCGGTGAACAATTTCCAGGTGTGCAACAGCGGCAGCGATCTCAATGATCTGACGTCCCTCGATCCGTTCATGTGCCCGGACGCGTTGACATCGTCGTTGCACGAGTCGTTTTTCAGCGGGCCGTCCGTACCTGATTCAGAGATCTTCACGTCGTTCGAGGAGAACGAGGAATTCACCCCCGACTCCGAACGCAACCTGTCCCCGTACGATTCCGGCACGGCGATCAACTTGAAGAGATCAACGATCGAGAACGATCTGCAAAGCAGGTCCACGGAGTCCGTGTTTCGCAACAGATGTCTGTCGACGCGATCGTGCACGATATTACGATTAGAATCATCCTTACATCGAAACAGATTGCGCGTGAAACCAGGGGCGGACTACATCCTGAAGGATATCAAGAATTCACATTTGGCACCGCTCGCCTCGCCGACACCTACAGAGATTTGCAGTCCCACCTTCGAGCTTGTTTCAGAGATAAAGGGTGACAGCAGTGTCGGTGTCAGAGTATAGATATAAATCCAAGAAGCAAATGTTCGTTAATCGTTCGTTAATCGAGTCAAGGCAGAATGTATGGAACGTCAACTTAGAATTGTCTTTCGATCGCGATGCTCTGCTCGTCAAACAGGGATTTTTACGATACACCATGTTCTATAACGATACGATTGTATTGTCTGTATTTTTATAATAGTTCCAAAGGGCTGCATGCAGAAATTATTCTGTCTATCTCTGTTCCAAAGAGACGTGCCGAAGCTAGTAGGTTATCGTGAAACAATGGAATCGAACTTTCAAGTTGGACTGTGATAGTACGACGTGTCTTCAGCGAGATCATAGAACGATCACGTGACAGAGGAAATTCTATATAATTGTTCAACGACGATTAATCTTTCGACTCCTAAGAATAGTTGGAATATAATTGTTCAAAGGAATTCCATCTTTCAAAGGATTTCCATCCGAGGGGTTTTAGGATTAAATTCGTTAGATAAATTTGTAATATATTACACGATTCACACTGACATAACGTTACGTTATATAAATATATAAATAAAGGAAGTTCAAAGCGTAAAATTTCACGAGAGAAACATTGTAATCGATTAAATTGATCGTCTACCAATAGTGTCGTTATTGGAAAAAACAACGACGTCCCAATTTGTATTTATAGATATTCTTAAAAATAGTACGTTATATCGATTGTACCTATCAGATTTTGCCTCGCTGATCGCGGCTGACTTGGCCGATATCTATTACGTATTTCAGCATTGTTTGTGAACATTACCGGAAACATACTGTGCCAAGCGGATTGCGCAAGATCGTCAGAATCTTTCCTTTTACTTACAATTAGAACGAGTGAACGAGAACAAACGTGAACTGTTGAACTATCTATTACCAGTCTGTGTACCTGATCAAAGTCGACATTTGCAAGCGAACAGAGATTTTTCAGAGACAAAGTTACGCAGCCAATGAGATCTGCCTCACATATTTCAGTTTCAATTCGTACTACCATTCTCTCTTTCGACTAGATACGATCGAATCTATTCCCGATTCTTATACGAAATTCTAAGCAACCTGATGCTATCGTCATTTTAGAGGCAAACACGCGATAAAACGATCCTCTGTAACAATGCTCAGAGAATGTAGATATTTTAGCGTTTTAGAGGGGGGGAAAAAAAAAAAAAAAAAAAAAAAAAGGAAGAAGTAAGAAGAACGAAAGAATTGTTGTTTCAATTGTCGTGCGAAAGAAAACAAAGCAGGAAGCAAATATCATCTTATTGTTAGATCGAATGTAATTTATTTAAGGAAATTGTACAGTAGAGGGAACGTAAGGACCAAAAATTTTCAATATATACAAACTCTAATATGGATGTCGTCAGTCCTCGACTTAGTAACTCGTAATTACATGATAGAACATTGTCAATATAATCGTTCCTCTGTTCTTTTGTAATCATAATCGTGATAATCAGCATACTCTGGCCGTCTAACACTTGAATCAATCTATGAGTATATATCTCTATCGAAATCTCTAATTTTTATATCGCGTCGCTATGAGAAAAGTTGCTTCGCTAGTTCAGATTCCTATGGAAGGAAGAAAGAGAGAAAAAGAAAAAAAGAGAAAAAAAAGAAAAAAGAAAAAAGAAAACTATCTCGAGAGTTAGATTGTCCTCTCAATCACTCACAATGCCAATTAAATATCGAAACTACTTTTATACACGTAAGTTTAATTTCACGAGAAGGACTCTGCGTGAGACAAAAAATTATTTTTATCATACATCTGCGATATTTTTTAAAACAAATTCTCCCCTGCGCTCGCTCGCGTATGTGTACACGCGCGTATATATTATACTATCGATCGTATAGAAATCAAAACCTCTTACTATTTTTCAGTTTCACGACTAATACAGATGTGTGCGTAATAACAAAGATATTTCGTAAATGCAAACTAATTCAACCGTGTGGATTCAACTTCACGAGTATGCATAAGTATGGGAAACTTTGCAAGAGTGATAGAAGTGAACTTTGAAAATTATATATTTTGAATAAATGTTCATCGTACTTGCTGAACTTACAACAACTCGAAACAATTAAAGGGTTTTTGAAACCTCGTGAAACAATTTCATTTGTCAACAATATTTGTTCAAGGAAACGAACAGTTCCATAATAATAATGATAGGAAAAAATGTACGATAGTTTAGTTTGAACAACTCGTCATCAGATTACAGAGAATGCGATGCTTTAATTGTTTTGAGTAATATATTTGCAAAATAGATAATAACTGACGAACAATCCTGAAAAAGACATGAGTTTGCAATTTGTAAATTCCTCGCATTTCATTTCTACGATTTTTATCTGCATCTTATACGCTCATCGATATACTTTTAAATATTCTCGTAATATCACAGAATTTAATATCGTGTTACATAAAAATCTTGTCTTCAAATATCATTTACTATTTGAATCTCGAGGACGTCTGAGTTGAAATTCTCTTTTCAGTACGATCCAAAGGAATTTCTAAAAGTAAACACTCTCCATTGTGTTAACGACTGTAAACGATGTACAATCAATTTTTTAATTACACGCATACAGTAATAAAAACATATTTCATAGTTTTAATTCCTTACAGGCGATTCGTTTTGCGAAGTGTCTTCCATCTTGTGTCAGTCATGGAGGAACAGACAAATGAAAATCTTAATTCGTTCTTGTGCGCTTGAGTTTATTAAGTTATGAATCAATAGCGCTTTATACTACACACATTCTGTACAAATAAATGATCACTTGTCGAAACGAGAGGCACTGATATATTTTTATGAAGTAACATTTTATCGTTCTTTGTAAATATCGAGATATCCAAATAAAAACAGAATCACAAATTACAAATCTATTAATTACACCCGGAACCTACGCTAGAGAGGACATCCCGGAATATCTCCGGGAATATCGCACACAACAACAACAACAACAACAACATTCACAATTTCTAATTTACGTAACATTTTCCGGAAATTGAATGATTAACGACTATTGCATGAAATGTGATAAAGATACGTAAATATTTTTGATTTTTTTCGTTTCCAATTTCAATGATTGTATCTTATAAATATTCATAGTTATGTGTATATCGAGATTACTTGTAAATTTTATTATTAATTCAGAATTCTATTACTTAGGATAATAACAAAACCGACACTCAGCCTAACCACAACAATGTGAAAAATACATCATACACAATACACTAAAGCATCAGCGTCAGTCACTGAAAAATTATTGAGCTTATAAAGAATAGTCATCATGCCTATTGCCTTTCTCCCACCCAAGTAGCGCATGAATGTGCACATGAATGACATCCTGGCAAAGGGCACGGAAAGAGTTAAACCTGAAAATCCTAAGCTAAAAAAATGATGATCTGTTTTATAACAGACTGAATGTTTTTCGATATTTTCTCATTGTATTTAAAATCTAAATGACTTTGCTTTAAAATTTATTTTAATAAATTTAATAAATTATTGAAATATTGAATAAAAAGGAATCAACAATCAGTATACAGAATTCAATGCTTAAATGAAATATTGATAGAAATATATTGAAACGATTTCTTTATCAGAGTACATTTTTAAAAACATAAAAATAACATTCGAAACTATTGCTCTGATTTTAAAATCTGCCTACCGTGAAATGTCTTCTTGCACATTTTATCACATGAAATTTGATAAATTCTTGGACGAATAAAATTGAACTAATAAATACCCTCATATTTCAAATTTCATATTTTGTTGAAATTATATTGATCATGTTGTCATAAAATCTAACATAGAATTAAACATTATTAAAACAACTGCAATACGTATTAATTATCATTCTCACTGCAATAATTACAATTCGTTCACGCAACAAAGTCGAAGGATATCCAATTTCTGCACTATAAAATATTCAAACAAAATCACTGCAACATTCATTATTTATTCAGATATTCATATTTTATTTTTTTTCATATAGATAGTACAGTGTCACATCAGAATAAAATGAACATCCGTTTTATTAAACTATTATTAAGAAGTAACATGATATAAAAATATTTTTTATATATTAAATTTCTAGTATTTAAATCTTTTAATTTATCTAATTTCTGAATTCTTAAATATGGAATCTATTAAATTTTTACTAGTATTGAATTTTATCCTGATATCCCTCTTAAACTTTCCTGATTAATTGATGAATCTGGTAACAACAAGTTTTATCTTTTTTGTAATCAATAATGTTTAAAGTAAAACTAATATTCTGCATTTATATTTCTTATTATTCTTCACATTTCTCTATATCATCATTGTATTAAATTTTTCAGAACAATGAATCAATATTATATCAGCACATGTTCATTTTATTTTAATATGGCAATATATATATATATATATATATATATATATATATATATATATATATATATTCTTATGCAGGCTTTTTCACGGTAGAACCACCGAGAGGCTTCCTTTTGTTCCACGTTAGTAGCTTCGGCGGCGATAGTACTTGCTCCAGAAATATGTGCCTCCTCTCCTTTAAATTTAAGTCGCTGCCGCACGACGACGGCGATCGATCGTTCTGACGATTCGAGTGAGATCTATCGGTGTTGGCGGCTTTGAAGCACGCGGCCGGGGCTAAATTCTCCTTGTCCAGCTGTGAAGAAGCAGCGGATTGGTCAATCTTGATGGCATTATTATTGTTCGGCGTGACGACGTAAACTAGCTGCGACTTGGACTCGAATTTCTCTTTCAACAGTGAGAACCTGCGTCTCGGGTAGCTGATCGGCTTCCTACGTTTCTCGTCGATTATCGGGGCTTGCGATCTCTCGTGGCTTGGCGATTGCGCGGAGAGACTGGTAGACACGCTGGTAGCGAAGCTAACGTTCTCGACGGGTACGAGCGGGCTCATCTCCACGTAAAGATCGGTCTCCTTCGAATCGAGTTGGCCAGCGATCGTCGCCTGTTTCTGCAGTTGTTTCGCCTTGTTGCCTAGAATCGGCGAGTCGGATAGTATCGCGTCGATCAACGGTGTTTTCCTGATCGACTCTATCGTGCAATACTTCACCAAGTCTTTGATAGCGTCTATCTCGCGTTTGCCGCGGACGATCGATTCCGACTCGTCGAGCTGGCGGTTGATGTAACTTCGGTTAGACGCGGCGGCGGCGTCACTCTCGAACAACGCTTTCGTCAGCTGCGCCCTGCGGATCAAAGTCCTCGGATCGAAGTCTTCCCATTGGCTGCCCGTCGTGTGATAGACGTGCCTCGGTGAATTCTCCGCCGTGTACCTGCTAATCTGATCTATCGTGCTGACCAACGTGCTCACCGAGTCGCCACCGGGCGGCTGCGTGTACTCGAATTTCTCATCCGGCGTCATCTCGTCGTGCTCCTCCAGAATCGTGTCCAGCGCGAACATACCACCTTTGTCGTCGATCACTACCGGCTTCGCGATATACAGCGTCGGGTTTTGCTCGTCTTTCGCCGGCAGCAGGTCGTCGTTGTACGCTTGCTTGTTCGAAGACTCGCTTCGGCTGTCTATCAGGTCGTAGGCCAGCGTGTCGAGATAGTCGTCTTGCTTCAGAATCCCTCTGAACGTCGTGTCGGAGAACTCGGAGCTGTAAGTGGTGCCGGTGGTGGTGCTGGTCAATGTATCTCTCCGCCTGTCCCTGACAACGCTGTCGTCGTGGATGTAGGTTTCTATGTCGGTGTAGGCTTTCCAACTGCGGATACACCATGGTGGCCTGGCCACACCGAGTGGGCAAACGTTCTCGTAATCGTGGATCGAGGTGACGCAGCTCATCGTCTCGTCCCTCTGTTGCAACTCTTTCGTCAGCTTCTCGTCAGTTTCCTCCGTTCTGAGTTTCCTCTCGCCGCTGTCGTCGAACATCGTCGGCGTTCCCAATCTCTCTCTCAGCATCGCCATACCATCGTTTACATCATCGACGAGCCGGCGTTCTTTCAGCTCTTTCTTCGACCCCTGCGCGTCCTCGTTCTCCATCTCAAGGATTAACTGACTCGAGAAACAAATGCCTCGCCTCTTTTGCAAAGGCGGCACACAGCAGTCCGGACTTTTCACATCTTTGTCATCCATGTCCAATAATCCGTGGCACGTCGGCAAGCAGATACCTCTGCGCTTTTGACGATGCATGTCCTCCCCCGTCGGCTTCTCCTTGCAATCCTTCTCAATGTCAACGCTGTACTCGCAGGCTACATTCTCGGACGGAAACGTGCTGTCCTTTGGTAAACCGTTGCTCGTCATCTCATCCTTAAGCGTAATGTTGTGCACTGGCTCGCACTCGGAAACCAGGCGAATAGCTGGCTCGTTCTCGATCTGGCAGGTTTGGTTCACCACGCCACCAGTCTCCGTGCACTCTGAATTTTGCACGATGTTCGTTAACAAATACTGCTTGTCCGTAGTGATCTCCTCCTCATTGGAGGAGGTATTCGCCTTTTGCGAATGATCGACAGTGCTGGACGACGAAGCGACGAATGAATTTGGATAATACTGTTTGAACGATCTCGGAGTGACGGCTTTGTTGGTTACAGGCACCTCGGACCTCCCCTCGCTAGTTACGTTCGTCACACCTCCGATTTTCGATGGGTGAAACTTGCCATAGTAGAACAACATGCTCGCCAAGCCGATAATCATTCCTCCGATTATCAAACTCGCCGCTGCCGCAATTTCCTCGGCTTTTATATTTGCATCTTTGAAACATAATACAAACACGATCAAAAAGGCTATATTTTCTATCGCGATGACAGAATAAAACACAAACACTCTGTACCGGGATTTGCCGGCGCGTAAATTAAAAAAATCGAAACAATAAATAAATCCTATGATACAATTGTAGATACGCTCTTCCCATACAGTTGGACAGAAATCTGTGTTCTGCAGAAGCACCCAAATGGTCATAAAAAGCCAGTGGGATCCTGCAACATTCAGAGTGGGACACGCGCTACGTGAAAGACATAAATCTATTTCGAGCAATCTTGTCAGCTTGTCGCTCTCACACTCACCAAGAAACAATAAGGACCATTCTCTCAGACAGATTGCTGTCAAGACCAGAACAGCTATCCTGGATATTAGCATTCCAGCTCGCCAAAGACCCTGAACTGTCAGTACTATCCACGTTGCTTCATCATGGCCAGGATTTATTCTGTGCATGGCTTTTGTATACGTACCTATAGCCCAGCTCAATGAACAAAAGGAGACTATGGCGGATAAACCTATTTAATTGTTCATTTAAAAATATATTACAACCGTCGTTCACTTCCCGCCTATATAAATAAAGATAAATTTGTCATTTCTTATATTCGTTCAAACTGTTTCATCAGTGACAGTGACAGTGGAAGCCATATTATTTTTAGCACTTCAAACACCCACCCTACTGGGAGAAGAGAACACATTATTTTTAAAGTTTCAGCGCTTCAAGCTTCCAAATAGAATGCTCAGATAGCAACTGTGTGATAGCAATTGCTTCTCCGGCAACAAACCACCTTACTGTCTACAGGAAGATACAATATACTATCAATTATATATATATATATATATATCTATATCCCTGACTCTGTTATCTGAAGGGGCGGGCCAAAGGATGTGAAGATATGCAGCCACTCAATTTCAATTTTCCTTCATATTCTTCAAGTCAGAGTGTCTCTGTGTCAAAAGTATTGCCACCAGTATCATTACGAATAACAATTTAAATATCAAACAGTAGCACGCGTGGCATGCCAAGTTGAAAGTGAAATGTACAAACATCTTTACTAACATGTTCTCAGGATTACAAGTAAGTATACTTTTCCATTCAATGGAAAAACAACGTGTACACGTG